ACAGAGACTGACCTGCTATTTGTTTAGGCATTTATGTTTGTTCATTTAGAGATAAATTAAAGGTAGTGTTTCTTAATGCTTTAATATTTTAATTCCATTAGGCTGTCAGCTGTTCGTAGCATCCTCACAGGGGGTTGACTTTAACTAACAGCTGAACATCAAGGTATCACTGCTCGTCTACTCAGTTTTGCATTCCCTCTTGTCAAAATGTGATGTAAAAGTGTGAGAGAGCAGAGAGGAAATGGTTTCTGTGTGAGTTTGACGAGTTGAATCACAGATGCACTCCCACGTACGCTCTGCTGCTCTCATGGGTTTGGAGAAGCAGCGAACTGCTGCCCTCTGCTTCTCACTTATCAGATCCAGAACAACGCTGTTTCACATGGAAAGATGCTAAAACAATGAATCTTTAATAGCATTTACAATCGGTCTGCTGCTGCATTCAAGAATAAACAGGTTCAAGTTATATTTTGTTGCGTTTGTTTGTTGTGTTAAACATTTGGCAGTTTAATCTAGAGATTTGGTTCCTGTTCAGAGAAATCAACTAATTGTGAGGTGTCAGGTAAATATGAATACTGCATTAGCATAAAAAACTGATAATAATGACACGAATGAATCACAAACATTTCAGCTGCACGTCCTAAGAAGGGCTACAAAACCATGAGATAACCATGAATTAATAATGAAGAAGACAGTTTTTAACTTGAGCTTCATCACTAAAAACAAACCTGTTTACAAGACAATGGTGAGACCAGCTATGTTGTATGGTCTGGAGACAGAGACATGGACAAAAGGACAGGAGACAGAACTAGAAGTGGCATAAATGAAGATGTTGAGGTTCTCCTTAGGAGTGACGAGGATGGATAAGATTAGGAATGAGATCATCAGAGGAACAGCACAGGTTGAACAACTGGGAGATAAAGTTAGAGAGGACACACTGAGATGGTTTGGACATGTCCAGAGGAGGGACAGTGGGTATATTGGTAGAAGGATGTTAAAAATGCAGCTGCCAGGAAAAAGACAAAGAGGAGATATATGGATGCAGTTAGAGAGGACATGGAGGTAGTTGGAGTGAGGACAGAGGACGTAGAGGACAGAGATGGAAGAGGATGACTCATTGTGGCGACCCCTTATGAGGGAACAGCTGAAAAAGAAGAAGAAGAAGAAGAAGAAGAAGACGACGTCAAAGAAGAGAAAGAAGTAAACAAAGATTTTAATTTGATTTTTAACAAAACTTTATTTACACAATAAATTAACACAACGGTGTTTAAAAAAGTGATCAGGACAAGTTTGAAATAAAATATTTACACGAAGAGCTTGTATTGTAGTTCTCCCTGATCAGAAATGGTGCATAAAATCTTCTTAAATCCCCACAGTTTCACAAAATTCTCCAGGTGTCCAGTGTCTCTGTGGAAGCAAAACTCCAACGCCAGTCTGGCCTTGACGTTGCACTTCCACAGAGTCACAGCATCAAGTTGGGGTCCAGCCTGCAGTCTGTCCCTACGAGACAAGTAAACAGACATTTTTGCTTCGGCCACTAAAAAGTTTAAAGTTTGGGATTTAAACCTAGTGGTTTTGCTGTAATGTACTCCTTTAATAAAAACAGATTTGGTGAAAACTGTGTTAAAAAGGCTAAAGATCCTTGTCATTAGATTAAACAGAGCCGTCAGCCATGCACAATCTGTAAAAACATGAAAAACACTCTCAGACAAACTGCAAAAAGAACTCTCATTTAAAACATCAAGATTGATGACCGTCAAAAAAGAGTTTGATGCAATGGCGCCGTGAAGGATCCTCCATTGAAGATCGCCAGTCTGTTTTTTTGTCGGAGGTTTGTAAAGAGTTCTCCACTGGGGCTTCTGACCTCCGAGCTTGTCGTCCCACACGCTGACAGCTCTGTTGTGCAGAGTTCTCTTGTTCAGGATCTTCACACAAGTCTTATAAAGTACTTTTGGACACATTCTGCACAAGTCGATCTTTGGGTCTGTGTTGCGTAGCAGGGAGTCGCTGTCTTTCACAAAGTTAGGATCCAGGTGGAGGTCGGGGAAAGGGTCCACTGGATCAGACGGGCGATTCCCCGTGGACCACAGCTGCAGGAGATGCTTCTCTCCATCTGTCATCCTCTCCTTCACCAGGTTCAGGAAGCGGTGCACCAGTCTGGCAGACAGCAATGAAACCACCTCTCGGACGCTGGAGAACTCTGGTTCGGCCGCCTCCACCAACTGCCTCAGGGTCATCATCCCAGATTCTCACAGTACCTTTGACAGACCCAGCACCATGCTATTACAGACGTCCATTCTTGCTTCACAGACTAGTGGTTCTTCTAAGAGTCACTGTGGAAAATTATACGTTTTTGATCTGTTTGGTTTAAAAAAAAGAATACACTTTGAAAACACTCTGATAAAACTGGGGCAACCCCTTTAACTTTAAAAGGCCAACATTGGTTAGAAACAGCGCAGCAACCAGCCCCAACCTGCTCACACATCTAAGGATGCAGCTGACCACATCCCTCCACACAGTGTCAGGAGGTCCTGCCAGGTACTTCTGGAGGAACTGTATTCAAAAGTGGCTGTTCTGCTGGTCAGGTGAACAAGGCCCTGTTCCCCCTCCTCTCTCTGTAAGAATGGGACCGACTGTGAGAAAGAAGAAGAAGATGATGAAGAAGAAGAAAAAGCAGCAGCAGAAGAAGAAGTGGTTAGTTCCTACAAGATACTCAAAGGATACCTAGTACTTGCTGGGAGAACTTACAGAGTACCTAGAAGGTATTCACTGACTACTCTTCTTGGGTACTTGCAACAGTACTTTACAATGCCTTTGGTGTACTTACAAAGTTGGTATGTGGTATATATTCAGTATCTGAAGGTTACCTATTGGGTACTAATAGAAATATCAAGGTTTACCGAATCCTTACACGGTACATACAGGGGTATACATTGAGTGCTTATTGGGTAATTTTGAAAGTAGCTTTGAAGATTGTTGTGAGTTTCATCGGAGCTTTGTGTGTGCTCAGTTAAGATATGCCATTAGTAACCCTACGTATTGCCTGTTAGTACTTTGTAAGTACCGCATAGGTAAACTGTCAGTACTAATCAGGTATTTGTGTTCTAGGTATTTTGTTAATATCCCTATAAATACCCAATGAGCAACCTGTAATATTGTACAACTAATATTTTCATTGTAAGTACTCTTTAGGTCCTTACCTCAAAAGAAACCTTTAAATACCATGTTGGTACCCTGTTAGTCTTCAGTATGCTGTAGGTACTACATTTACCCCGCTGAAAGTAACAGCTGAAAGAAAACTAACAACTCTGTGTCATCTGATATGTTGAAAATCAGCAATTCTTTTAGAAGATGTATTGGACAGATTAAAAAAACAGGTTATTTTTGTTTAGTCCACTTCTTAACTGGTTTCATTAGAGACAACATTCTTTGTGTCCATTAATAAGTTTATTCCTAACAAAGTGGATATTGTTTGTGGTGCTCCTCAAGGTTCAACCCTTGGCCCAGTTTGAGTCAATCTGTATATGCTTCCATTCAGACAGACCTGTGGTGATTATGCAGATGATTTCCAGCCATACAAAAAGATCATGTCATCTCCTTGACATAATGTAAAAGTGATGTCATTGAATGGATATCACAAAATGTCTTATACCTAAACAAAGATAAAACATTAGTACAGTGCAAAGATTCATAATACAGAAAGTCACATCCCATCTCAGTTCTCTCTCTCTAAAAATGATGCCATATCATCCATCCATCCATCCATCCATCCATCCATTATCTTTACATGCTTATTTCCTTTCGAGTCACGGTGGTCACTGGTGTCCATATCCAGCAGTTACTGTGCGAGAGGCAGGGGACACCCTAGACAGCTCTCCAGTCCATGACATGGACACTTGAACATGTCTCCAGTCCTTCACAGGGACAACTGGACAGGTCTCCAGTCCATCACAGAGACACATAGAGACAAACGAGACAAGCAACAATGTTCAGTCAGGTCATCTGGACAGTTCCTTTTTTTGTTGAGAGATGTTTTGTCCTCTATATGAAGGGCTTCATCAGTCTGAGAAGTCACATACAAACTTTTCCCCACCAAGCAGTACACTCCGAGACAAACAACAAACAACCATTCACTCTCTCACTCACCTTCACATCAATGTGAAGAAGACAAAGGAGATGGTTGTGGTCTTCAGAAGGAACAAACACACCTAACCCTCCCCGCAACCCCACACACACACACACACCTCCCCAAACATAAGAGAATCTGTGGTGGAAGTGGTCTCCAGCTACAAGTACTTGGGTGTGCACCTGAATGACAACCTCAACTGGGGCAACCACACCACCAGTCTGATCAAGAAAGCTCATCAGAGACTCTACTTCCTCAAGCGGCTGAGATGAGCTGGTCTGGGAAGCTCAGTCCTCACCTCCTTCTACAGGTGTGCAGTGGAGAGCATCCTGTGCTCCAATATCAACATGTGGCATGGAGGCTGCACAGCTGCAGAAAGAAAAGCTTTGCAGGGAGTGATGAAGGCTGCACAGAATATGTTGGAGTCAGTCTCCCCACCATCACAGACATCTACACCTCCAGATGCAGAAAGAGGGCCACCTGCATCATGAAGGACCCCACTCACCCAGCACACACACTTTTTGCCCCACTCCCCTCAGGAAGGAGGTTGAGGAGCATTAAGTGTAGAACCACTAGACTGAGGAACAGCTTCTACCCTGAGGCTGTTAGACTCATGAATCTCTAACCAGAATAATCAATGTGAAAAACCATATCATGCTGCTGCTGATCTGTTTCAATGTTGCTGCTGATCTGTTTCAATGTTGTTGTGTTTATTCATGCTCATCTGCTTACGCAGACTCATGTTCATGCTGCTGTTCGGCATATTGTGTTCATACTATTAGTACTTAGTGTATTTTTAGTTTATGTTTCTCTTATTTCATATTTTAGATCTAATTACTGTTTTTCTTTTACATTTTATTGTTGGAT